GGAGTTGGGCACTCAGTCACAGAATGTTATGAGAACTCAGCATCAAGTGATTGAAAGGCAAGCAACACTATCGAGTTCCACAAGATTTGAGAGAGGGGAAAAAAACGGCGAAAGCCGTTTTCTTCGTTCCACATCTTTTCGCTTTGTACAAAGCCTGGTTTATTCATCATTTCCTGATGTTAGGAAGGAATGATTTGGAATACAGGAACATACTGATTCACTTACTGGACGAGTGTTAGAGGAGTAGATTGATACCACTCTTGTGTCTACGCAAAAAACATAAAGGCAGGTACAATTTGTCATTTTTTGCACAGATTGCACAAATGAGAAATGACTTCCAAATAATCATAATTCCTGAACTAGTCCTCCGACTAAACGAGGTTCTGAAGTGTCGAGTTGCATTTCTCTTCAACAGGAACAAGTGTGCTGCAAGTCGTCACTGGGATGAAGACAAAAGGGAAAACTGTCTTTTAAAAAATTACAAAACCAGATACAAGCTCATCCTCCAGCCAGGTCTAATTTTATACTTTTTCCAGTTGTGCTGCATTTGCAAAATGTATGATTAGAGGCCTTTTCTATTATTTCTGCAATGGTTTCTTTGGCCTCAAGGAACTGGCAGTGTCCCGATGTGCAATGAAGTAAAAGAAAAAAATTACAAATTGGAGATGAGTGCTAGACCAAAGCCCAGTTATTGGTTTATAGTAAATTACTATAGAAACTGAACTTTCTTTGAGGCTCAACATTAAACAGAAGCTGCCATCGCTTGTTCTGTTCTGCAGGACTTCTCCCTCATTGGCCCGCTGAGAATAGTGTGAAGCTACTTCCTTTTTGGCCAGCTTTACGGGGATGAATGCCTGCTCTCTGGATTTGCAGGGTTGGAAGAGCTGTATACCGACACACCTGAGTCGGACACACAGGAAAACTTGCTTCTGCGCCAGGAACACTGAGGGCACTGAATGAAAAGTGAGACCCTGCTTGGGTGCCTTGGCAATTTGTGCAAACATGAGTACCAGCGAATTTTGGCTTTGGACTAACATTACACGCGCACACACACGCACACGCACACACACACACTTCTGCACGACGCAACGCTCAGTCTCACTCCACAGATTAACCCCAGATGGCAACAATGAGATGAGTATGAAGGCTTTTGCTGCGTAACTGAAAACACGCGGTCTTGTTAACGCACTCCAAAAACTTGCTCCATCCATCCATCACTGGCCAGATGTTCTCTGAAGCCTTTTCCCTTTACTCAAATGGGACCAATCCCTCTCAAAATTAATTCACTTCCCATTCCACTTGCAGCTACAACAAAGGCCCTCATGAAAGCTAATTGGACGATTTGTGATCCGTATGATCAAGCGGTTGAGCCGAGGAACAAGAGATGTTGTTGTTGACGGACGCTCACTTGGGACCATTTGCATGCCGTGACCCCACTTAATCCTGCCATTAGACCCCAAAGCTCCCCCATCCTGAGGACTTCAATACACTCCGCTCGCTGCATTACGACTCGGAGAGGGACCATTTCCTTGAATAAACATCAAAATCTGTTGGGTTTTTTGCCTAATTTATTTTTTTTATTCCAGCTGGGCAATCTGAAGAAAGACATGGGGAAGTGAGCGTGGCAGCCAAACACTGTAGTGAGGTCTGGCAGCTGACTTATATCCGTCACACATTAGAAACAATAAAACATGCTGTTTTCCAGTAACTCCTGAGGAGCATAATCAATTTCAACAGATACATCTTTGTCAAACTCATTTTGCCTGCTGTCTTTTATTGCCAGCAGTAAAATAAAGAGACTTGTGGTAATTTATTCACCTTGTTGGGGGAAAAATACACAGAGCAGTTTGTTTTTATTTAAGATTTAAGTGTCTCGCCTTTAGTGCCCCTCAGGTGAATGTGCCAAAACTAACTTAATTAAGAAACCTCATTACACACATCCAGTTTTCAGTTTTGCTGTTAATTTGCAGTGGTAATCTGATATGCATAGTGAATTCACTTATTGCGCTTCCTACTTTGCTTTTAGTGTTTAGGATTCAGTGACATCTAGTGGTGGGATTGCAGATTGCAACCAATTGAATACCTCACCCCCAAAGGTCATCAGGCTGAACACAAAAACCGATCCAGCCAACAGTCCATCTTTAAACCCATTGTGTTTATACGCCAGCTGTTCTAAACTAATTTTAGAAGAGGCTTTGTAGAATAGGTATGTTCGGCAAATCAAAATTCAAGTTGGAAGCACTTCAGGACGGTGAAGTAATCTAAAAGCCAATCGAAAAATATTATCTTTTTATGGAAGATGCTGATGCTAACTTTCAGGTTGGCCTGCAAAATATCATCCCTGCAGCACCATCTGTACCTAAATATGAAAGCAGTGGTTGAGCTTTTATTGTAACATTCCGTAACATAAGCCAACATTAGCTCAGGTATCTAACATTTCCCAAAAATGATTGAAAATGTTTTCAGCCGTTTTTTGTAGCCCAGGTGTTTGAATTATTAGAAAAATATATTTTATCGCAGGTTTTACTAAAGTTCTTGAAACAAGAATTGCTCTGGAAACAAGGACTGACATATTAACAATTCAATTTTAACACCTGGAGCTGAAAAAAAACGAACGGAGATGAAGAACAGATTAGTTCATCCCTATCTATAATACCTAATTTGCCAAACTGTCAATTACAAGATTACGATTTCGCAGTTAAGAAATATTCAACTTTTACACAAAAAAAAGGGTGAAAGCAATGAAGTACACATAGCGGACCACAAAGAACAGAACAAAAGCACTAGCAGGTGCCAGATCATAATTTAAGCCACTAACCTTGGTGCTTACAAAGATACTTGGGTGTCTTCTAAGGGGACGCACAGCCACCTTTAAATTCTTATCCAGCAAAAAGCTTTGATGTACAAATCAAGGGAACGTAGTGAGAGCAACAAGAACCCTCCAAGAATCACACAAGGTATGTCATTATGTCACCCACAAAGAAAGGTCTATTCCATTTAGGGATGGAGCCACAGGCCATTTGGCCCACACACACATATCACACAACTTCCAACGGCCCATACACACAAATATAGAGTCTCATTCTTTTGTCAGATAGTCAAGCAAAGACTTTGACCTGCAAGCAAGGATGAAAAGAAAAGGCCGTGGCATGGCAGAGACCCCGGGAGACAACACTTGTTGATCCCTGGTCTCTGAAGCGAAGCACTGGGTCACTCTGATGTGTGTGAACAGATAAATGTCCCGTGCTGATTCATGCTGCACAGTCACTCCTTGCACAGATAGGAAAGTTTGTCAAGTGCTGGCTTGACCACCGAACTCAGTCGTTACTCTGTCTCACAGAATAAACCGCCACCACTTATAATACAAAAGTCAGCTCCAGGGCTTAAAAGATCATTTATGATGCACTTTCATTGCAGACAACTTTATATTAATATGAGAATTAACACACACACCCTTCTGAGTACCACGAACATCTGCCTTAAGAAAACATGGAGAAAACATCTGAAACAAGTGACTCACATCTCATATGTCATCTTTATCCAATTTAGCCCACAACATTATGTAACAGGGATCATTTTGTTCACTTTTTAAAGGGCTGGTCTATGTTAACTTCATCAAACAGCCTATTTCAGACCCTCGGCCGTTACACTGATGCTCACACAAAGATTAATGTCCCGTTTCCTGATTTTCTACCACAACACTAAACTGTAACACAATCAGGCTCTCACTGGACAGTGGCCTGGAAAGAGTTGCAAAGCCTCGAGCGTCTCTGTCACTGACAGTCAATGATTACGGTGTGGACGTGCTCAGCTGGACAACACGGCAGCCAGGGTGTCTAAAGCCCAAATCACCTTGAAGTGCTATTAGCACCTGTTGTGGTCATTTACACACACTGACAGTGGCGACCCCCTCCCCTCTCTCTCTCTCTGTTTGAGCCCTGACATCCGTCTGCAGGCCAAACAACTGCTTTGTGACTCTTGCCGTCCACTTCACGCAAGCACATGTCAGCATTTCACACAACTGCTTGAACGGATGCATGTGTATGACAGGAGATAACATGGAAATCTATTGCAGAACTGATTGACGTGAGCTGAGCACACCGATTTTGGAAGTTCGTTCAATGCAGGACTGATAAGCTGTGACCTTTTGAAGGATGGACTGCACGACTGTGAGTGCCAAGAAAAAAGAGGTCTCTGGACTTTAAAGGGCTGATGCGGGGGCAGATCCAGGGGCACATACTGTCCCTGGTTTGTTTTGTTTGTCACTTAATATGACAATTTGTTCAGACTTTTTAATTTTCTAAGTTTTTTGCAGAACACAATGTGATTGAACAAGGACAAATGTTCAAAATACATTCAATTATGTGTGGCTTTGCTCAAAGCTTTAGAGCAAACAGTAAACAAGTAAATTACTTTACTGAACCAGAAATTGTGTCTGAATGTTGGACATATAATTAGCCCCTTTGTGCAAATTGCAGCCCCTTTATGGCCGCCCATATTTATGCCACATTTACCACATATTATACAAGTATTTCCATTGTTTTTTTCAACCAAACTTCACTTCAGCAGACTTCAGCACACTCTTCCTCATCTCATCCAATGCAAACAGCCTTGTACCTGTTGCAGCATCACTGGAGGATACTGAAGACCACCATATGAAGTTAATCAAAGTTCAGTCAATCTTTATTTGGTGGCTTTATGTCCGGTATTAATGCATGTAGTCAATACCAGTGCCAGTTATGAGTCCGGCAATAAAATATATGTGGATATGATGAAAAATGTATCAATTACCAAAGCATGTCAGTCTGTGTTGGGTTATAACTGTGAATGTTCCTTTAGAAACACAGCACAGGTCAAACTGAAAGCAGCAGGTGTTACTTTTCTCTCTCGAGTAATTCAGGAAAAGTTCCCAAACGCATCTGTCCCATACTGAAGTGACGCGCCTTCCTCCTTAAAATGTCAAATAAGCAGCAACCTTTGCGTTTCTTGCAGCAGCTTACCTTTACGCAGACGAGCAGGAGCAGCCCGGTCGTCCCCACGCAGCCCCCTCTCATCTCTTGACAGACTGAGCGTGGATATCAAGAAGCGTGGAGCTGCGGTTCTGCGTGTCCGTGCGTCCCGGTCCTGCCCGAGTCACTCACACTCTCCCCTCCGCGCCGCGCCGCGCTCCTCCGGCTCCAGTTCTCACAGAGCAAAGAGAGAGAGAGAGAGAGAAACAGGTAAAAGTCAGCCGATGGGTGCCGCAGACGACGTGACACTTCACCGTCCGCTTCCAGATATTTTGTTCCCCCGGCAAACACGTTGCTGCTAAATTTATGTTTGCATACCAGGCGTGCGTCAGGAGAAGGGGCTCACCCACCTTACATTCTTAAAGAAACACGCTCCCGGTGCCATTACGCGCTGATAGGCTGCAGGGACACGCAGGGGTTTTGAATGATGCTCGGTGGTGTTTGATGGTGGAGACTCATCCTCGCGAACGCAGCACTGGCTGATGTGAGAGCAGCAAGCAGGACTTTAGATACCCTGCACAGGTCGAGTAAAGAATGGTTATTTGTAGGTTTCTGCAGCAGAAAATGTCTGCTTTTAATCTGCTCCCACTCAGGATGATTATTCCAGACTTCTGTGTGTGGTTGCTGCTGTGATTTTTGCTTCTACTTAAAGTCACTGCTCAGATTCAACTATGCTTTTACGGACCGTGCACAGACCAGTTCGATGAGGACACGTGTAAACAAGCCACTTTTGTAAAGATTGTGGTTTTTGACAAAAGGGCGGAACAAGGATTTGAAATAAATTGCAGAATTTGTCAAAGTGGAGTTGCAATTAGGTGTATGCATTAACAACATGGACTTTAAATAAACAATAATCACACATCTCCTTAATCCAAAATATACGTGATACTAAGGCTGCCATCGTGTGCATTTGGAGCCACAGTCAGCACAGCAATCACACGTCACAGCAGTCAATCATGACTTTTCATATATTATATCATGTATATATTATAGCATTAAACCAAACTTACTGGAAAGAAAGACATCAGTTTGGTAAGAACCACAATCTTTGACGTGTACTTTGACTTTTTTGTTAGAGCCATGTCCCATCCACTAACACGGAGGAGCTGGGTTTTGTGACCTTTGCTGCAGCCAGCCTATAAGTGGCTATCGAGACACTTTGGCTACACTTGTGGGGAGCACTCGTGTCGTCCATCTTTATACACAGCCTATAATATCTAATCTCAGTTTCTTCTCTGGTCGGGAGCCACCTCTCAAACGCACGCAACAATTGCTGCATCACGTGGACGATGTCATGTGCATATATTCTGCAGCCAGAATGTCTGCCATATGTACACACACACAAACACACAATTGTGATCTGTGCGCCAGATGAGGATTGTGACCACTTTTCACAGCTTTGAGTCAAGTCACAAGTATGAAACGTATTAGCCTTTCAAGCCGGGTGCCCGCGCTGCCAACCATGTGCCATTTAAGGCCAAGAAAAGCTTTTTTATCTGAATCAAGCTCCGGCTTTCATATGAACTGAGATCAACTGGATGGAACGAAATGTTCACTCTTGGCCTTTCGCTGGTATATGATAGAAATCAACTGTTGTTTCTGATTTACTTTGATGAGATCTATGTCATTTCTTGGCAGCTGCATTAGAAATAGCAGTTTCCTTTCATTTTGAAGCTGATCTTTCTTTGCTTTTTCCCCCCGTGCAGGTTAATAAAGGTCTGCAGTGTATCTTTGAACACTTACTACACGCAGGTCCAAATTAGGGTCACATGCGGGCCTGTCCTGGTTTTTATTTTGTGAGTAGAGTAAATTAACTGTATTCATAGACTGTATCTTAAAATGTTTTTGTTCACACCATAATATATAAGGAGAATTGTCCAGTCACAGGGCAGACGGGGATTTTGTGTTATAATCACCTCTGTCAAGGAGGTCATGTTTCCACCCCTTTCCATTAGTTTCTAGGTTGGTTTGTAAGCAAGATTATGCAAAAGCTACTTGACGGATTACCACGAAACTTAGATAAGGCTCATGGAAGAACCTGTTAAAATTGGTTGCGGATCCAGATCAGGGATCAAATCCAGGATTAGTGCATTATTTACATTGATTTCCCAGGAGACAATTCATGGCTCCTGATAAAAAGAAATCAGTCATTGAAAGGGACTCATTTCTATTAGTGTTTGGTGAGCTTGATTAAATTTAAGGGGACAGTTTTTTTTCCTTTTTTCCTGTTCCTTTTAACTCATACAGTTATTGAACTAAGAGATATGAAGTTGTTTGAAGCCACAGTTGTAGGGCATTGTGTCTTGTTTGTGGCTTTTGAAACTGTCCAGCACCACTATAATAACAATGTTCCTAGAAAATGTCAACTGTCCTCAGCCAAATTCAAGGCGCTGAGGTGCGGAGACACAATATAGAGCAGGTATGTATGGTATGAGCTACCTGAATTGCTGCCTGACACGCAGGCTTGAATTCAGCTTAATCTCTATTAACACACCGAACACAGGTATGTTAATGTTTATTTCCACAGGAGGGGGGGGGATCTTCACCTGAACACTGAGATGGGGGTTGAATTCATTTCCTTTCCACCTCAGGGTTAAATCTCCATCCTTAATAGCTTGACATCCAAAGCCTACCTGCTTATGCTACTCATCATGAAAAGTTCAGTGTCTTTGAAAGAGGAAACACTCCGGGAGCCTCTCGTTGAACTTGGACCACCCCTGGCACCCCCGAGAGCTCCACAGACACCCGACAAAGCCGGGCAAGCAGGAGATAATGCTCCGAGACATGAATAGTTTACATTCACTGCGACCGGCAGTGCATAGCTAAAGTCACGTCCTCATGTTACAAATGCTGTTGCTCTTATTGATGGACGTGTTCAGCGGGACCACTCGCTCGGAGCTCCCATCAGCAGATCTGCAAAATCACTGCCCCAGGCACAAATGTATTTTTAGGGACTCGACGAGTTTAAATAGCATCTGTCAGTTGTTTGCTCAACTGATCTTCCAGGGACTTTTCTGTGTGTGGAGACAAATAAAGGGTTGAGACGGCAGCTAATGACAGTCTTTTAGGTGAGATATTCTGTTTGAATGTAATGATGGGCTGGATGTTGGACACTCAGTGACACTGCTTCACACATCTAGGCCTTTTTCGACCCAGCCACCACCTTCTCGCTCTGCAGGTTGAACACACAAGCATTCAAGTATGACTTTACACGTCCAAAACAGGGCCATAGTATGTACTGTACATGTGTTGGTTTCCTGGCTAAACATACCCAGAGCAGGTCAGTGCCCCCCTTATGAGTAAGCTTGTTGTCTCCCTGTAGCTGACACCAAACACAGCCGTTTGATCAGCGATATTTGGCCTGGGAGTCAAAGCGCTGCTTGTCACATGCGTTCAAAGAGAGGGCAGGAATTTGCCAGATACCAGCGAGAGAAATGCCCTTCACGGGACACCAGCTACCTTGTTTTTGCATTAAAGAGGCAGCTACTGCAACAGATTTTGCTCCCAAACGCAAACATCTCCAGAGCTGACACTTGGTGATTGCAAAAATAGAATGAAACACATAGAAAAAGTTTGCTATTTTGGGGCAAATGCACAAATTTGCCATCTTTCCAAGACTTAGGTAAGAAAACTGATGCAAATTGACTTTGGATACTGTTTTTCCACTCTTTTCTCCCACTTAAAGAACATCTAACACAAAGTGATAATTAGTGAGCATTAGAAATTGTCTTTCAACTCAAAGCACACAAACTCCTACGAGTGTTGTTGTGGCACCTTGTTATAGCTCCCACTCCCTCGGCATTCAGTTCCCCACCACTCAGTTGCCTTTCTCATCTGTCCCCGATTGCCTTTACTGCTCTGTGGAATTTGGCACACAAGCTGTATGTGTGTGTGTGTGTGTGTTTGTGTGTGTGTACCATGTGTTTGTACGTGTGTCTGCTCATGCTTGAGACTCCAGAGGAAACGAAAACTCTTGCCATCGCTGGGCCGCAGTGTCCCGGGAATGCCAGGCTTGCTAAGGGTACAGTAACCTGTCTGTCTGTCAGCGCAGATCTGTTTCAGCTGCAGTCATCGCGTTCCATCAGGCATGTCGCATCCACTGCTGCTGTCTGAGGGCATCGTGCCACAGACCGCCAGTCAAAAAAAGCCTGCACAGCGGACACATCACTCTCCACACTGTTGCCAGTGATCAGTCAGCTTGTCTGATAACCCAAGGGTATAATTTTTTCCCTATTTCTTCAGCGAACTATCTAATTACATACAAATCTAGCTTACGGCTAAAACCAAATATGCGGCTCAATGAAGTTTCCGAAATTTGCCCAAAATATCTAATGATGAATAACTTTTCGGCATCAAGTTCCATGCAATGAGATTAGCAGCATTCTACACAAACCCAGGATTTCCTATTATCTAATGATAAAGTTAACCTGAGATTCAGTATCTGATGAGGCCTCATCAGATTTTCCGAGGATGTTACAGCTCGGCAGAAATATGAAGAAAACAATCAAGCAGCTTGTTAAAAAAAAAAAGAGAGACGCAGCAGCAGAAGAGGACATTGTTATGTTGTAGATGAGGGTGTCTATTGTTTCAGTAAATATGCTGCCGGCTGGTTGCTGGCAAAAGAGTTGAACAGAGAAATGTAGGACATAGAGAGCTAAACACCCCCCCAGATCAGTTTCAACCATGAGAACAAGGCAAATAAGTGCCTAAGCACATTCTTCACCTTTTGTTTCACCTTCATCTTCAGCGCTGTTGGGGGAGATTCTTTTTTTCATGCTTCCTCTTGGTCAATTTTAACGAGTTGAAAGCAACACTATGCAACTTTTTTAAAACTTAGTTTGATGACTTGACATAGGGAGAATGGAGCCCCTCCCATTCCCTCACTTCACCCGGAACGTCTGGTTCGATTACTTCATATTAATATTTTCCGCACACTGTAATAAAGTAGATGTCCAAAAGTCAGTTTTAGATCTTACCTTGATTTTCAACAAATATTCAGCTTCTGTGTTTTGTCTTTGAACTTGACGTCTCTTGACTTCCTGTACATGAATCTCATTGGTCAGACATTGATACCAGTTAGTTGCTCCCTGTAAAGCTTTCAGGGCACAGTGATAAACACGTGTGCTTCACATTGTGTCGGTACATCACAATTCATATGACTCATCGCCTTCATTTCCTTGAATAGAAAAGAAAAACGAGCTGTTGCTGAGTAGAGATGATAACCACGGGCTCGCATTGAGGGCTCTGCATCAAACCAGACCTCACAGTGACTTCTGCTG